AACGTCTCCATGTTCGTCTTGTGGGAGCGAAGGAACAACCTCCACATCCCCTTCAATCTGCCGAAAGCCCTCTCGACTGCTCCCCTCGCCGTCTTTTGCTTGTTGTCAAACCGAATCTCCGACGGGTGCTGTGATACACCGTCGTAGGGGACGACTACCCATTCCGAGGGGGGGTAACCGTTGTCGCCCAGTAGATAGCCGTTCGTTCGCACACCGAAAGGCAGCATGACAGGTGGCCCAGTGAAAAGCTCCCCTGCCTCCGCACGCGCCCACAAACTGGACAGGTGGGCGATCCTCACGTCGTGGCAGCTCCCCGGGTATCCGACGAACACATCCAGCACATGCAAGTTCAGATCGACGACCACCTGAGCCTGGACGGAGAAACGACGTTTTTTGTCGTAGTAGTCCTCTCCGTGGCAATTGGCTGGCTTGTCGATGAAGATGTGGGTACAATTGATGCAGCCATGGCAGTTGGGGAAACCCTTGTCAGCGAAAGCGCGCAAGACGATCGCCTTTTGCAGCCCCGTTGGCCACGATATCTTGTCGCGGTACGCACTCAGCAACGCCGAAGTAACATCCCGCACAGCCACCAACCCAGACTTTCTGCCAATGCCAAAGCTGCACGTCCCGCTCTCGTACGTCTCCCCCGACGCCCATCTGTACAAAGCGAACGCTACGATGAGGTCAGGCTGGAGGGGCTCCCTATAAAACGCGACACGCCGTTGAAGGAAGGGAGACAGAGTTTCCGCTATCTCCCGGAACACCCGTGGCGACATGCGCAGCTTGTCCTTGAAGTAGTCTTCCGTCGCGTCGTCGCATTGCCGCAGATCCTCCCACACCCCCCCTGTTCGACGCTTCATCCACCACCTCGGCGTCGCTCTGGGAAAGGCTCCACACCCCATGGCATAGCACACCTGAAGGACAGCGTCGCAAATGGCACCACTGCCCTCTTCGTCCACATGAATGGACTGCAGCGTCTTCTTCCGTCGTGCACGAATGGCTGCTCTCATCCTCCCCTCCGTCCTCTGCAATTGACACCTGATGAGTATCATGTTCACGGCCGCTGCCACAGCCGCCCTCTCCGCCTTACTGAGTGTGTCATGAACCGCGTCCCCGTCCACGTCCATCGCTCGTCCTCGCGAACTGAAGAAGGCTCGACTTCGGTGGGAACAACAGCGATGGCGCGTCGTGAAAACCCGGCTGTACGGCGTGCACGTCGACGGCAAAGGTGCGCGTAGCGGAGCACACAACGTTGGCGATTGTGTGACGGCGGCCGTGCTGCTTCGGACGTACTCATGGACGTTCGGCGTGCCAGCAGACGCCACGAAGCCCCCACCCCGTACCGAAACAGTCTCGTCGACGAACATTGCTGCCGGCAGCCGTAAGGGACACACGCGCCGCCGTCATTCGCTTACTGGGATTCGAATTTCGAAATTCGAATCCGGGACTGCGCGCCGTTTTCATAGCCTTTTTTTTTCGCCGCGTAAATTCGAATTCGCGCCGCCCACAGCTCCTGGACCAAGGGCGACGCCACGGACACAACCCGCTGGACCAACCTCGCCAACCCCCCCGCGTCCGCGTGTCGAAATATGCAACTGGCCGCGGGAGCACCCRAGGAATYGTCCTCGGGGAACATTTCCGAGGATGAGTGGAACGAAGGCGGGAATTTCCTCGGGCGACTCCAAGGATTCGTCCTCGGGCCCCGAGGATGCCCCGAAGAGTGTGGAACGAGCCCCATGGTGGCATGGAAGGATGAGATGCAGTTCTGACGGTTAAATTATTAATTAGAAAAAAGAAGTGCCGTGCATAAAACTTAGCACAAAAATGTGAGCATTGTGAGGCTTTACTCTTGTGGAGAGCATCCATAATAATGTGCTGCAAAAAATAGTACCGACATGCAAACTGCACGCCAGCATCGCCATTCTGCCTCTGGCTGGGTAAAGCTGGACACTACAGTCTTGCAGGGGTGGGGTGGGGTGGATATCACGACCCGTAGGGTTCCGCGCTTTTGAAACACTGTGTCCTGGCTGTAGTGCTTACGATACTTGGCTTCTTGAGGCCGAGGTCGCCGGTTTGAATCCGGGCTTGCACGGAGGACTTCGGGCTCAGATGTGCGGATCTACTTCGCCGCTGGGTAAACTTCTCTGCCACCAAAAAAAAAAAAAAAAGCTCCGTTGCCAGGTGTCAAAATCCACTTTGCCGCTGGGTAAACTTCTTTTCCCCCCTCCCCCGCTCCCAAAAAAAAAAAAAAAAAAAAAAAAACAGCTCTTTTGACCGGAGGTGTTTGACACCACGACGACAACACGTGGCAGTTTCGCGGATGATAAAGTCTTCTAATTTAGCTTCCCACCGTTTCTGTGTCCCACTCCAAAATGTGGACCTCTTTGAAGAAACAGTGGGCCCTGTTGGTTCCATCCACTGCATCCTCTGACAAATGGGCCCTGTTGGTTCCATCCACTGCATCCTCTGACAAAACGGCCCCTGTGAGCCGGGGTGCAGAATCCCCTCGTCTATGTCCGGGGCTGGGGTCTGGTAGGTAACGACTGGCTACCATGGTGCCGCAAGAGTAGAGGGCATCTACGGAATTTGAACAAAAAGAATTGGTCAGCACAAAAAGGGCTTAAAAAAAAAAAAACAAAAAAAAAACACACTAAACCGTCTGAAAGTCAAAGAGTCTGAAAGTGTGAATTGGTCTAACGACAGTTGCACTCACAGGCAAAGAGTTTCCCTACCATTGCTATGAAATAGTATGAATGCATGGACTGCATGTCACAGCAATCCATGCCTGCATGCATGCAGCTATAGATGCATGTATGATTACTGCAAAATTTATGCTTACATACACACAGCGACGACTATGAATGCATGTAACTGCAATTCATGGTTATGTGCACAGAACTATAGTCTTTTATAACCTCAGTCGCTGCCTCACCACAAACTCTGTGTCTGCTTTGTGTTTGTGCACTGGGCCT